CAGGGGCTGGGTTTCCACGACACTCATAGATAACAGAACAGAATAACAGGAGGTGGAAGGGGCTTTGTAGGTCATCTAGTCCAACCCCCCCACCCAAGCAGAAGACCTTACACCATTTCTGACCGATGGCAGCCCAGTCTCTTCTTGAAAGCCTCCAGTGATGAAGCTCCCACAACTTCTGAAGGCAACTTCTGTTCCATCAGTGGATGGTTCTCCCTGTCAGAAAATTTCTCCTTATTTCCAGGTTGAATCTCTCCTTGATCAGTTTCCATCCATTTTTCCTTGTCTGGCCTACAGGCGCTTTGGAGAATATCTTGGCCCCTTCCTCCTCTCTAGGGCAGCCCCTCAAATATTGGAAGATGGTCTTCTGTCTCCCCTGGTCCTTCTCTTCCCTAGACTAGCCAGGCCCAGTTCCTGCAACCGTTATTCATATGTTTCAGCCTCCAGCCCCCTCATCATCCTGGTTGCTCTTCTCTGCACTTTTTCTAAAGGCTCAACATCTTTTTATAGTGTGGTGACCAAAACTGGATGCAGTACTCTAGGTGTGGCCTTACTAAGGCTTTATAGAGAGGTATTAGTACTTCCCTTGATCTCAATTGTATCCCTCTGTTAATGCAACTTAGGAGTGCATTGACTTTTTTGGCTGCTGCTGCACACGGCTGGCTCCTATTTAGCTAGTTGTCCACTAAGACTCCAAGATCTCTCTCCCAGTTCCTGCTATTGAGCCTGGTTTCACCCAGTCTATATGTGTCCTTTGGGTTTTTCTTGCCTAAGTGTAGGACTTTACTTTTCTCTACATTGAATTTCATTGTGTTAGATACGGCCCAGTGTTCCAGTCTGTCAAGATCCATCTGGACCTTGAGCCTATCTTCTTGGGTGTTGGCTATTCCTGCCAGCTTGGTATCATCTGCAGATTGAGCTTCATTGGCTGAGGGTTCACTAGAACCCAGAACCTCCAGGGGCTGGGGAATTCTGGGAGTTGAAATTCACCCATTTTAAAGTTTTTGAGATTGAGGAAAAAAAACTGGCCTAGATGAATCAACCCATTGTCTGAAATGGTATAATAGAGTTTCCTGCCTGAGCAGGGGGTTAGACTAGATGACCTCCAAGGTCCCTTCCAAGTCTGTTATTCTGTTCTTTTGTGTTCAACCATATGTTGGAGTCCTATTGATACTGCACGCTATTGACACTGGATGGATTCACCCCCGTATGACTTACGACCATTTTTCACACTTAAGACCTTTGCTACCATGGTCACATGGTCAAAATCTGGACATCTGACTCATATTCCTTAACCTGGAAATAAAGAGAAATTTTCTGACCGGAAGAGCAAACAACCCATGGAACACAAGTTGCCCTCGGAATTTGTGGGAGCTTCATCATCCCTGGAGGCTTTCAAGAAGAGACTGGACTGCCATTTATCAGAAATGGTGTAGGGTCTTCTGCTTGGGCAGGGGGTTGGACTAGATGACCTACAAGATCCCTCCTAACTCTGTTAATCTGATAATAGATAGGTTGGTAGGGAGGTAGAAAGAAAGAGAAAGAAAGAAAAGAGAGAGAGAGAGAGAGACAAAGGAAGGAAGGAAGGAAGGAAGGAAGGAAGGAAGGAAAGGAAGGAAGGAAGGAAGGAAGGAAGGAAGGAAGGAAGGAAGGAAG